GCCCCCCCCCCCTCCTCCTCCAGGGAGAGAACCCAGGAGTCCTGGCTCCACGGGGGGGGCGAGGGGGGGTCTCACCTGCAGGATGACCGACAGCTGCTTTTCGCCCGCCTGCGCCGCCTTCCACTTGCGGTAGGTGTCGGCCTTGAGCAGGTTCTCGGCGCAGTGAGTCTGGGGGGGGGGGGGGGGGGGCCGTCCGGGGGGGGGGCGGCCCCCCCCGGGGGATGGTCTCTTCCGCCCCCCCCGCAAGGAATGGTCTCCCCCATTCAGTTCTCCCGCACCCCCATGGGGAATGGTCTCTCCCGTCCCGCCCCTCCCCCCGGCAGGGAATGGTCTCCCCCACTCAGTTCTCCCGCACCCCCATGGGGAATGGTCTCTCCCGTCCCGTCGTAGTCTCGCCGACCCCGACCTGACCCTCCCGGAACGGCGTCTCCCGCCCGCCCGGGGAATGGTCTCTCCCAGCCCGCCCCCCCCTCGGGAATGGTCTGCCCCGCACCGGGTCGGCGCTGCTCGCGGACACCACATGGCGGATCCCGATCTCCGGCATCCCCGCGCTCCGCCGCTGCCCGCCCCCCCGGAAACAAAACTCTGGCGCCCCCCGGAAGTGGAACCGCTCTGCGCCGCCCGCTCTATGTTCGCTCGGTCCTCCGAGCGGCTCTGCGCAGGCGCCGTTGCCCGGCGAGGGATTGTGCGCGTGCGCAGCGCCCGAGCCCGCCCGAGACGCGACGCGCGTGCGTGCTTCCTTCGCGCCTCTTTCGCCAGGTCCCCGCTCGATCGCGGCGCATGCGCCCCGGCTGCTGCTTGCGGCTAGTGCGCATGCGCCTTGCGCTGTTCCTCCCCCTGGTGGCGCAGAGGTGAAGTCGCATCAGACCGGATCACGTGGTGCAGCAGGGAGGGATCGCTCAGTGGGTTGAGCATTGGCCTGCTGAACCCCGGGTTGTGAGTTCAATCCTTGAGGGGGCCACTTAGGGATCAAGGCAAAAATCTGTCTGGGGATTGGTCCTGCTTTGAGCAGGGGGTTGGACTAGATATCTCCTGAGGTCCCTTCCAACCCTGGGATTCTACAATTCTATGTTTTGTTCGAACCCACATGTCCCAGGAGCGAGGAGGCAATGCACTCAGGGGGCTTGCAGTACCTGTGCACAGGCATGCACCCCCGAAGCGTCGTGGTCTGGCCTGGGGGGCAGTGGAGAATCCCGCCCCGGACGGAGCCGGTCCATTGTCGGGGGCACAGTGTCCCCGGTAGAGTCTGCGGGGAACTATCCCTGTGCTTCGTTTGACAATGAACCTGGCCGGGGGCCTTCGTTCCTTACCGGAGCCTGAGTTCTGTCCTACGCTGTGATCCTGTCGACTAATAAACCTTCGGTTTTACTCTGGCTGAGAGACACGTCTGACTGCGGAGTTGGGGTGCAGGGCCCGCTGGCTCCCCCAGGAGCTCCACACGGGCGGACTCGCTGCAGTTACAGACAGGCAGGTAGCCTGAACCTAGCAGCTCCTCCCCCTGCCAGCCAGGTCATTTGCATTTTCACTGACCGCTTCAGTCGCAGCCACTTGGTTCCCTGGATTCAAATTCAAACCCTCGGCCGTTACCGGAGCAGGGCCAGGATCCTGTCCCAAAGAGAGACAGTCACCCCGCAACAGGACCTCACAGCCGATATCCTGGAGAACCCCAATGACCAGCCAGCCCGACCCCTCCTGTGTCTGCACAGGGATCCGGGCCATAGGCAGGGCGAGGGCCTTCATCCCGGGGACCTTCACCCAGCTCACACAGCCCCTCAGCCTCTGCGGCTGCACCACCCGGGCCCCGACAACAGTTCTCTGTGTCCCAGGGTCTCGCCATCCCAGGCATGTCCCCCCATTGACCACCACCTTCCGCTCCCACTGGGGGGCCGAGGGGCCTGAGCCCAGGAGACTCCACGCCGACATATAGGCCGGGGCCAGGAGTGGGAGCCTGTCCACCACCCCACCCATCTGGCTAAACAGCTCTATGGCCTTGGGACCCAGCAAGGGAGCTAGACGCCGGAGCCTTTCTGCAGGGCCAGCCTGGTTCCAATTGCCAGCCTTCCCAAAGGCCGTGAGACAGGCATCTACATCTCCCCGTCCTTAACCTGGGGCAGCAATTTAGGGTCGAGGTTCCCTGTGGAATTGGCACCCTGGGGTCCATCCCCCCTCACCCCTGGGCGGGTCCCTCTGCCTCTCAGCTCCGCCATCGCCAGTTCCTGCTGCCACTGTCTCTCCTGCTGTTCTGCTTCATGCCTTCCCTGTCTCTCATGGGCCTCCGGCTCCTTCGATCTCAGCTCCAATTCCATCTGTCTCAGATCCACCGACAGGGAACCCCCGGAGACCCCCGGCTGGTTGGGGACATGGGTCTCCGGGACACCCGGCTGCTCCCAGCCTCTCTCGCGGCCCCAGCTGGGTCAGGGACTGGTTCCTCAGAGCATAGGTGCCAACTCCGTGGGTGCTCTGGGGCTGGAGCACCCATGGGGAAAAATTCACAGGTGCTTGGCACACGTCAGCAGCCACGCTCCCCTCGCCTCCTCCCCCCCCCAAGCGCGCCACGTTCCCGCTCCTCCCCTTCCCTCCCAGCGCTTCCCGCCCCTCCCCACCCCCCGCTGCCTAACAGCTGTTTGGCGGCGCTTAGGACTTTTCCGGAGGGAGGAGGAGGAGTGGGGACACGGCGTGCTCAGTGGAGGAGGCGGAGAAGGGGCAGGGACTTGGAAGGGGGTGGAATGGGGCAGGGACGTTGGGGAAGGGGTGGAATGGGGGCGGTGCAGTGATCCTTTTGACCCTGTCGTTAAAATGGATCAGCCTGTTCCTTGTTATCTGTGTGGAATGCACTGCCGGGGGGCTCCGGGACCATCCTGGCACGTTTCTCTTACTAGTGATTAGTATCTTTCAGGTATGTGTATAATAGCAACATCAGCCTTCTTCTTGCCAATTCTGAGAGCAGGGCCTGCCTCTGGCTCACAGCTTCACTTTGCTTTGTGTTAGCAAAGTCTTGATCATTCCTTTAGTTCAGGCCTCATGTCTCATACCGGGCCTCTGATACAAGGGTTATGTTTCAGGGCCTCATCTTACCACATCCCCTCACTTTTTGTCTTTTTATGGGGAGGATGTTCACCCATCCTCCCGGAAAAGCACAATGCATGGACCGAAGACAAGCCAGTGGTTACCTTATTTTACCATCCATACACTCATGCCCCATTTGTCCCTTCGTCTGCACATTCCCTCATACGACTGGCAGACAGATTTTATTTTCCAATTGTTTTTAGTCCCTTAGGGTGGGCTTGGGAATGTTAAGCCCGGGACCTTGACTGAGGTGTCTGTGTATTATTCACTTTACAGGATGGCATGAGACGGCCTTCACCAGTATTTGTTACCTCCCACGAGGGGCTTCGTTAAGATCAAACGGCTCTCTAAACAATATTGACAATATGAATATCTGAACAAGTGGATATAGGTTCTGATTACTATGGGGACGAGAAATTATTACTGTATGTGACATATGAAGGGGCTTAACCATGTGCTTTAACACCTCACTCCTTAAAATGATTATTCATCACCACAGCGGCGCTGATCAGCATTTCCATCCCCCCCTTCACTCTGCGCTGTAGCTTGGCTTGTCTGGTTTGACGTAGCAGAACAGCTACGCTTAGGGCCTGGATTCCCATTGGGATCACACCAAGGGTTCGGACCACTGGATGTAGAGTCACATCCTCTGGAATTGCTCACCAGGGTGTTTCCACCTCCCTTTGTACACTTTCTATTTCATTCACTTGCTGTTGGATTAGGGATTCTTTGGCTCTCGCCACCAAATCATGTACGTCCAACTGTAAGTGTTCCACTGGGGGGAACAGTTCGATCAGTAAGTCTTGTAAGCGCTCATGTGGGAGGATCGTTTCAGTGACAGCGCTGCCTTTGCTCGTTGGCCAGAACGCCTGGGCTCCTATTTGGATGGTGCTGGTAACAGGTACGCAGAATCCGGCATCACTTGTAGGGCAACCGTTGCCAGCTATGGAAAAATTATGATAACCTGTAGCACAGACCATGTCCTGAATTCGTCCTGCCTCATTGACCAGTTCCTTTTGTCCCAGTCGGGCCCACCCTTTGCTGGAGTAGTTAATATCAATTGTGGCCTAGCACTCACACAGCCACCAGCCATTATGTTTTACACAACAAGCTTGATTAATTTCCAAGCCAGTTTCAGTTACGAGGCGCTCGGTGGGGTAATGCTGGACATACGTCTTGTTTACAAGCGTCCCCACGCTATTTGCATAATATACCTTAACTGGCTCCTGCAACCATACAGGGACTGCCAGCATGAGAGAGACGCTTTTGCCGTCCTCCTGCTCCAATCTTGGAACCCGAGCAAATTGAGCAAATTGTAGAAAGAGGTATAATATGGTTTATGCCTCGTTGCTGTATTTGTTTTAAGATGGCTGCGGGGTTTAATATCCATGGCCAATTCTGAAGTTGCAACTGCCACAAACTTTGCTGTACTATTTTGATTACACGATTGCCATAGGCTGTGCAAGCAACTGCCAATGAAACATCATTATTTTGTATGCTGTTGATGAGGGACTGAATGGTAGCATTCAGGTGAATAAACCCTTGAGCAATCAAATGCATATTAGCAATAGTGATTGCATGCTAGTCCAGTAATAAACTGCCAATACCTCCTCCTGTTTTAACTGTTTTGCCTATTTGCCTATTCCAGTCACAATGGTGTTTATCTTTAAATTAAGATTGTCAATATCTGCAGAGTTCCATATGGACATGTGTAGTGGGGCGGTTGGCCACTGAGGCAGGTGCAACCTGAAGGACTGTCATTACCCCCCCCGCCCCCCCAGAAGGGGGGGAGAGTGGAGTAGTGGGCACTGCCAGAGGGCAGTGTCCTGAAGCGGACACTACCGAGCGGGGAGCAACGCGGTTCCCAAAGCAGCAGAGCAGACAACGGGCGAGACACCACGCGCTGAGGGCGCTCCAGAGCTGGTGAAGAGCTAATTCCCAAGACAACCGGCAGGAGGCACCAGCGGTGGTGAGTCCTGACTCCATTACAAGTGGTGGAGAATGCGGGCATAGGCAGTCCACCCCGACACAAGGGGCAGGACAAGGACTGTGGGACTATTGCCCGGATCCGAGAGACTTGAGAGAGCAGAGATGGACTATTATTGGAGGGCTTGGGTGGCCCAGCTTGCCGAGCAGCAGAGGGGGTTGTTTTTGGATACTTTAAGCTGCACACAGGCTTCTGAGTGATCAGTTGTTAACCGGCTCCGAGAGGGACAGAGGACCAATTTCATGTGTGAAAATACCTGTTCACACAGGTATGTGGATCCAAATGCTGAGAGCATTGCAAACGCAATTTTCTTCAAACAGTTCCATTTCACTGGCAGGGACGTCCAGCAGGTCAGAATAGAGGCCCCATGATCTCTCTCGGTAGCTTCAAGTGCGCTCCGCAGATCCACAAACTTTGATGCCCACTGTGACAAAGTGGTGGGTTTTCTTGTTTTCTGTGGAGTTTCAATGGTTTGCATGCGGAGGGGGTGGGACTCAGTTTCCCTGGGTGTTACT